AGAAAATAAACATATTCAGGAACTAGAAGAAACCATCAAATCGTTAGAAGCCTCTCAAGATGAAGAAATGCTGGATAAAATGTGTAAAGCAAAATTGGAATTAAAAGAATGTATTAACAAAAAAACTCAATTCTTAATACAACGACTTAGAATCGAAAATTTTGAACAGAGCAATAAGTCAGGTAGCTTTCTAGCTAAACAGCTCAAAATAAATAAGGAAAAAACAACTATAGTTGGTGTTAAAGACTCGACTGGGAATACAGTTTACGATCCTGAAAGAATTAACAGCATTTTCAGAGATTTTTATAAAGAATTGTATTCGCCCCAGATAAACCCATCAGATAATGAAATTAATGAATTGCTGGATAAAATAACACTTCCTAAACTATCAGATAGTCAAACAATGGAGCTGGATTCACCACTGACACCAGTGGAACTCCAGGAAGCCCTCAAAAGCATGTCCAATAAAAAGGCTCCAGGTCCAGATGGATTCCCAGCAGAGTTCTATAAAGAATTCTGGAATATCCTGGCTCCACTATTTCACAAAATGCTACAAGAAACTGAGAAAAGTAACAGTCTTTCAAAAAATATAAATTCTGCCAACATTAGTCTCCTGTTAAAACCAGGCAAAGATCCTGTATTACCTACCAGTTATCGTCCCATATCTCTTATCAATGTTGATCTTAAAATAATTTGTAAAGCCCTCTCAAAAAGATTAGAAAAGGTAACTCCTCTAATAATACATCCAGACCAAACTGGTTTTATAAAAGGGAGACATTCATCCACAAATTCACGCAGATTATTTAATTTAATAGATTATTCTTACAGTAAAAATATTGAAACTGCAATATTCTCTCTAGATGCAGAAAAAGCCTTCGATAGAGTTAACTGGAAATTTTTATTTGCAGCCTTACATAAATTTGGTTTTGGAAATTATTTCATAAATTGGTTACAAATATTATACAGTTCTCCTTCAGCATGCATTAGGACAAACAATCAAATATCTGCTAGTTTTGCTCTGCAAAGGGGAACCAGGCAGGGATGTCCACTCTCCCCCTCACTGTTTGCTATTTTCATCGAACCGCTAGCCGCACCAATCAGGCAAACTACAGATATTAAAGGCATAAAATGCAAGAACAGATAGCACAAAATCAGTCTATATGCTGATGATGTGCTGCTCTTCCTCTGGCATTCACAAACCTCCATCTCTCAGGTTATTGGACTGATAAACTCCTTCTCAAAAGTTTCAGATTACTCTATAAACTGGCTAAAATCCACAGTTCTACCAATTAATTGCTCTTTCAACAATTCACTTACTACACAACTGCAATTGGGGAATATTACATATTTGGGTATCAAAGTTTCGCCTAAATTAGCAGATTTAACAAAACTAAACCAAGCCCACTTTTAAAGAAAATTGAGGATGATCTGGCTAGATGGAAATCTTTACCCATATCTCTCATGGGAAGGATCGCATCAATAAAAATGATGGTTTTGCCTAGAATAAATTATTTATTCTCAATGATCCCAAATAAACCATCATCTGACTGGTTTAGATCCCTGGACTCCTCTATTTCTAAATTTCTGTGGAAAGATAAACGCCCTCGTATTAGATTAAAAACACTACAGAAATCCAAAGATATAGGAGGACTAGAATTACCCAACTTTTATTATTATTTTCTAGCCAACAGGCTAGAATACATCTCAAAATGGATAAAACACACACCCCTTGATGAACCCTGGCTAGACGTAGAACAGACACTTTGCAATAATACAATGATCTCAGACCTTCCATTCATTAGCTCAAACATAAAACGACAGGAATGCTTTAAAAGCATCAATATCAGCTCCTCTCTGACAGCTTGGTGGGAGTTTCTTAAAATGACAGAGTCTTCACTAATCCCATGTAAACGTACACCCATCTGGAACACCCTGACATCCTACAACAGAATAAGATGATAAACTTCCCAGGTTGGAGGTGTAAAGGAATTGAATATTTGGAACATATATATGAAGAAGTGGACTACATCCCATTTAACAGATTAATTACACAATATGGGATTGATAAGAATAAATTTTTAGAATATCAACAAATTAAATCTATAACCAAAAATAAATTTAACCTTAATAACACTAGGATTGAAATGTCAACAAGTGTATTAGAATTCCTTAATCTTAACCCTCCCAAATTACTATCTAAGGTTTATCAGAAACTCAGTAAAATAGATGAATCTATATCTCTTCCCATTGTAAAATGGGAGACAGACTTGTCAGTTAATTTTGACCAAAACTTTTGGTCGCAGATCTGTCTGAGAACTTTTAAAATGACTAAAAACACGAATTTACAACTAATACAATACAAAATCCTTCATAGAGTACACTATACAGGTCAACGGATGTTCAAGATGGGTTTCGCATCATCTAATATTTGCTCACAGTGTACAGACAATATTCCGGACAATTACAACCACGCATTTTGGTTCTGTCCACCTGTTCAGAGGTTTTGGTGCCGGATATGTGAAGACTTATCAAAGTGTCTGAGATGTAATATTCCACTCTCTCCGTCAGTTTGCTTATTGGGCCACTTAGATGATGTCACCTTGGAGACAAAATCAATTCATATTATTCTCACTGCCCTATGTATAGCAAAAAAAACTATACTCATGAATTGGAAAAATAAAAATACACTTAGTATTAAACAGTATAAAGACCTTCTGTTAGATTACATCAGTCTTGAGACAGCCTGTACCCCCACATCGGATTATTCTCTCTGGACTTCTTTAATCGGCTCCAACACGTAGTGGAGGTGGGTGGTCACCTTTGATTCTGTCCCGTGGGGCATGGTGGTCAGTGTGGGTGGGGTGTCGGGGCGGGGGGGGGGGGGGGGGTCATGGGCCTGGAGCGGTGACGCCCGACTGGGGAGGTGGCTCTGGTGGTTCTGGGTGATGGCCTGAGCTGGCTGCATGCGGGCTTCTGGGCGGTCTGTACCGGCGGACATGGGTTACTGGCCTGGTGACCTGGCTGTCCCTGGGTGGGTCTGGGGTGGACGCGGGCACGGGTTCTGGGGTGGTATCGCTCCTGGGCGGGGTTCCCGGCTTGGTCCGGGGATCTCGGGCCTTGACAGGTATGTTGCCGGGGTCTTGGGCCGGCGGGTGCGCCGGCGCCCGGCCCTGGCCTTGGGGCCTTCGGTGCGTTGGTGGGCTTTGGGGCCTGTGCCGTGGGGGGGTAGGACTGTTGATGGGGGGGGGGGGTCTGAGGGAGGGGAC